ATGCGGGGCTCGATCCCAGGACCCTGGGATCATGACCTGAGCCGAAGGCAGACGCTTAACGACTGAGCCACCCAGGCGCCCCGCCTAACCACTGTTTCTAACCCTGTTCAGGTGGGTCGCTTCCTGCCTCTCCCCACAGCCCTAGTACGGCCTCACCTGTTCACAGAAGAGCTCCGTCTCTAACGAGGGGTGCTGGGAGAGCAGAGGCTGTGAGGGGTTCCCGGAACGCATCAGAACCGTGGGCTTCACACCCTCCAGGGCCTCCAGGTCTCCGGCATGGCTGCGGAACACACAGGGGACATGGGCTGAGTAAGCTGTTCGGGCTGGGCTGTTAGTAGCTCGGAGACCCATGGGGGGTGGGATCAAGTAGCGCTTCCCAGTGAGCAGACTGGAGGGACCCTGGGGCAAAAGGACAGTCAGCCTCCTTTGGCAGGGTGTTGTGGATGCGAGTGGGTGGTCTCCATCTGGAATGACCGGGTGGGGCCAGGTCGGATGGAGAGAAGGGCCTTGAGAGCCTGCCCTCCTGAGGACCAGTAGCCCCCACATCTGAACACGGAGACACGGCCTCCCCTCAAGGGGTGTCAGAGGCAGGAGCCATCGTGGAAGAAACGTGGGCCCTGGTCTGGGGGGGAGGGGCTCCCTGGACCTCCAGGGAGAGCTCGGGGCCATGGGCCGGGGAGGCGGGCCCTTGGGCTGTGGAGTCTGGGTCCCGGCGGGCAGGGACACCTGTGTGGGAGCAGCAGGACCCGGAGTAGCAGGTCTCGGGCCTCAGGCCGGATCTGCTCCTCATAGATGAACCCGTCCAGCAGCTGGTTGGCCACTCCCGCCAGGGAGGTCTCTGGCAGATCCAGGAGGACGGTACCTGCAAGGGGTGGAGGGCTGAGCTGGACGGCTGGACGGTGGCCCCCCGGCCCGCCACCGCGCCGTACGTGCAGGTCTTGGGGAGGGGCCCGGCGGGGCTCACCCTTGGCAAAGGCTTTCTGCAGCTCCAGGAGGCTCCAGAAGGTGAGGTAGGACAGGTGCGGGCGGCTCCAGACCCCATCCTCCCTCAGGTTCTCCTCCAGCCGCACCCAGTGCGCTGCCTCCATCCACCGCAACTCCTGGTTCTTCTCATCCATCACCAGCTCCTGCAGCTCCACGTACACCTGTGGCCCCACAAGCCTGAATCAGTGTCTCGGGCCTGGGGCAGCGCCCTGCGGAGACTGGCAGTCCAGGGCTTGGTGGGCATTCAGCAGGCTCTGAGAGATGTTTGGAGGAGGCCCAGAGTCCTGGAGCACTCAGGGCAGACCCTGAGCTCAGAGGGGACCGGCGGGAGAAGCAACCTGGGTGTGTTAAGCGAGGTAGGAAGTAGGGGGCCGGGTACAGCCCACAACTCTGGCTCTATTCCCCAAATCCCTGACCAGACCCTTACCCCATTTCAGAGGCATTTGGAGAACCTCTCGACAAAAAGAGGTGCTAGAGCGGACACTTGGGAGGGGCAAAAAAAAAAAAAAAGGAAGCCTTTGGGGTCATCGGGTGGGTCTCCTGCCTCCAAGACTGTTGAGTGGGCTCAGCATGCACTTGGGTTTCCTTGGGGCCAGCTGGCCGCTCCCAGGGGCCTAGCTGAGGGCAGATCCAATTTCCTAACCAGCTAGACAGTCTGATGCCCAGCAGGGACACGTAGGGTCTGGGCAGAGGGGCACGTATTTAATCCTGTGCTTCCCCAAGAAGCCCCTGACAGCCCGGCCAGGGCCAGAGGGCTGCGGGAGCGCAGCCCTCTGGCAGTCACTGTATCTCTGCCCAGGGAGCTCCCTGCTCAGTGGAAGAGGGACCCAGGTCTCCCCCCTCAGCAGGGGTGTCCTCTTCCCTTCTGCCTATTTCCCGGCTCCTTCTCCGCCTGTTTGTGGGGTTCCCCCATGCTGAAGCTGGGCCTATCCCTCTTCACCTCCCTTCTCCTGGTACAAGGGTGGGTGCCCCAGGCAGCACAGAAAAGAGAATCGGGCGATGCCGGGGGTCCTCACCTCGTGGGTGGCTGCGCGCGATGTGGCGTCTGGGTCTGGGCTGGTGTCGTAGTCTGTGGCTGTCGGCTCAGCGTAATCAGCTGAAAACCCAGAGGCAGGTTAGTGTTGCCCCCAGATAATCCGCCCCCCTTAGGGTCCTCCTGCACCACCCACAGTGAGCCTCCGAGAGCCGCCCCAGATGATGCCCCACTCCTTCCCGTTGCTGCTGGCTCGGACCCGGGTGCCCGAGCCCCGCCCCACCCCTGCTGCTCAAGGGTCTGTGGTTCCCTGTGCCTGTTCTTGGCCCAGCCTGGCCCTTTCACGCCCCATCCGAGCCTTGGGAAGACCCCTGGGAGTCATCTTCAGTGGTGACAGAGAGGGTCACCTCCAAGGTGGAGAGTCCCGAAGGGCAATTCGCCAGATTCTCCTTGGATCTCCTCCCTCTCCTGCCACCTTCTGGGACCAGCTTCCCTTCCTTCTTCCCCCCTGCCTCAGCAATCCCACCAGCCCAGTACTTCTCCCTGTCTCGTAGTGGGGCTCTGGGAGCCAGGGTGGGGTCTGCCTTATATTGCCCCCCACTCCCCACCCCACTCCCAGCTCTCATTTCCCAGAGGGGCCTCTTATCTTCAGTACCAATTGCCAGCACTTAAGTCGTATTGACAGTAAACAGGTCCCCACCTGGGGCTCCCCAACTGAGACCTTGGCAGGGCTGGGAAGGTTTCCTGATGTCTCTCTGCCCTGGGGGTCCCCATGGCCCCTCATTTCTCAGGACCTCTAGACCCCCAAACAGAATGATGTTCCCAGAACAGGCCCTGTGCCTGGCCTAGAAGTCAGCATGGGGCTGGCACAGATGGCATGTGGGCTCATGCCCTGTCGCAGGCGGGCCTGGCTGCCCTGTCCCAAACCAAAGGGCCCGGCCATGGGTGACTAGTCCTGTCCCCTGCCCCCCAGTCCCCTCCTGTGATCATTCCAAACAAAACTCTGTTTATCCTTCAATCAGCCAAGATTGTGGGAGAACTGGCCCTGGGGCTTGGGGGGGATTTGTGGAGAAGGGAGAGGACAAGTTCCCTTACGGTCTCTATCTGGGGCTCAGCAGCTCATCCCAGCAAGAGAGAGAGATGGGCCTCACCTACTGGCTCCTCCACCTGAAGCACAGGGACATCTGGGTCTTCATACTCCTCCTGTTCCAGAGCATCCTCCAGCCCCTCTTCATGATCCTCCTATAGGAAGTGGCCATCAGGGCTGGGCTGTGAAGGGCTTCTCGAGCCACCATGAAGGTAGGAGTCCAGGGTTGGGTTCCCAGAGCCCCCAGATAGGAGCCCGGCAGACACCACGAAAGACTCACCTGCCAGTCCTCCATGGTGCTGTCCTGATTGTCCAGTTGTCCACAGCGATCCAAGCCCCCAGCATAACCCGCACCTCGGGTCCCTGCACGGGGGAGCACAGGCTGAGTGAGGCCCAGGGCATCCTCCTCCCAGAGGAGGCTATATTTGAGTCAAGGGGGATCCCAGGTGTTGAGAGGCAGTGGGGTCAGGGTAAGGAAGTTGGGGGGGTGGGAAGGAGATAGATTTGTAGGTATGAGAGCAGGTATACAGGGGCCGGGAGAGCTGGGGCAGGAAGAGGAAACTTGGCTGGCATCAGTCAAAGGGTGTTTGAGAGGATGGGGTGTCCTTCAAATTCAACTCCTTCTTCCATCCACCAGTCCTCACCTGGCTTCTTTTCCTGTCCATCCCCTGGAACTTAGCCAACTCCAGGGGCATGACCTGCTCTTTCTTCAGGGAACTTAATTCCCCTGAGAGTCTTCACAGCATACCTTCTCCCAGAAACAGCTACTTTCTCCTAGGCATGGGGCTGTAGCATCCTTGGGAGTGGCTCACAGGTGTTGAATGAGGTGGCCCTGTTTCTCTCCTCCACTCCCTCACGAACTCCATCTCTCCTGCTCGCTCCCCACCTATCCCATTGGCCTTACCAAGCCCTTTCCTGCCCCAGGGCCTTTGCACACACAGTTGTCCACATCCTCAGTGACCCTCTGCCCCCGCACCTCATCCCTTCTCACATCTCAGCTCTTCAGATTCCCTTCTTGACCACCCTAACATTCACTAACCCAATCTGTCATTTTCTGGTTTCTTGATTCACTTGTGTATATATTGTCCGAGGAGGCCTCCAGAAGGGAAGCCACTCGAGTGCTAAGATCCATGTCTCGGTCCCCATTGAATCCCTTACTCCTAGCAGAATGGTTGCCACAGAGTAGGTGCTCAATAAATACGTGCTGGGTGAAGGTAAGGGTGGCTCCCCCTTGCAGGCTTGGGCCTCTGGAACTGAGGAGTCAGGATGACTAGGACCCAGCCAGGAAGAGACCGAGCCCTGTGTCTCAGGTTTGCTCAGTTGTATCTCTGGCAGAGAGGAAGGTATGCTCACCCCAGGAATGGGAGGCCCAGCCCGAGGGGAGCACAGAAGTCCCCTAGGGTGGCCCCGGCCTGGGTGTGGAGGGGTCCTTTTCCCCCTCACCCAACAACAGGGATTGGGGTTGGGCGGCAGACGTGCCCACTCTGTGCCCACATGGCGCTGAGCAGTGGGAGCTGAGATGAACAAGACACTGTCCCTCCTCTCGAAAAGCCCTCAGCCCTGACTGGGGAGGCAGCTGGGAACGCGTGACAGGCAAAGTGCTTCAGGAGACGATACGTCCCCCAGACAAATGAGAGATGAGCGGAAGGTGTTGGGTGCCAAGGATCATATGGCAGGACGAAAGGTAGAATGGACTGGTGGGGTTGGGGGTAGAGTGTCTCTGAGGGGGGGATCCTGGGGCTGGGCCGAGAGGCACTGGTGGGATCTGAAGGGCTGACAGGTGGGGAAGGATGGTCCAGGTGTGAGCATGAGCATGCAGAGGTAGGCGCATGCCAGACAGGGCTGGCTGCTGTTGGGGGGAAATAGGGCAGGGAGGACGTACAGACAGAACGGTCCAGGGACATTTCCTCCTGGTGGTGCTGCAGTCCCAAGAGAGAGAGAGAGGGAGAGGGTATGGCAGAGCCCCACCAAACTGAGAAGGGCAGTGGTTCCTGCATTAGTAGGGGAAGTGATGACCAGGGGACGGTCCCAAAGCCCGAGGACAGGGCCGTCCCTACTGCACGGGATTTGCCCCTTGAGGACCCTAGTCATGCACCTTTTCCTCTCCTTCTTCTGTCCCTCTCTTTCCTTTTCTCCCACCTCTATTTTCTTCTTCCTTCTCTGGCCTTGCTCTCTCCTCTGCCTGGGCCTCAAATCCTGAGCAGTCTCAGGCCTTAGGTGCGAAAGGTCCCGCCTGTGGGGCTGGGACTCTGCCCTCCGTTTCCTGTCTGGGAGGTGGATTGGTCAGAGGGGCCTCCAGAGCCAGAGGAGGCTGCCTGTCCGCCGCTGACTGGCTGAATAACCTTGGGCAGCCCCCAGCCTCTCTCTAGGCCTCAGTCATCCCAACTGTACAATGGGAGGGCCTTCCCACCAGGGTTCTGAGACCTCAGTGAGAGAGAAGAGGGGAGAATGGAGGTGCCTGGAGCTCAGCTGGGGCCTTAGAGGGTGCCGCCGTGACTCAGATTGCAGCCCCCCCCCGCCCCCCCCCCCCAGCTGCAGGCCTTGCTCTGGTACTGATAAGAGCTTGGAACCCGATCACGGCCCTGCGTCTGGAAGCTCATCAAACACCTGGCAGGCCTGCCAGCCAGGGCAAGGCCAGATAAGGGTGAGCAGGGCATCTGGAGCCCCGGGGGTGGAGCACAGCTGGTAGAGGCCTCGCGTGGGGGGGGACCAGATGATGGGGAGGGCTCCCTGGTGGCGTAGCACTGTCTCTGTGTAATCGCCCCCACACCGCACAAAGCCATACGGCCTCATCTCTTAGAATCCTCAAAGGACTCTGCCAAGTGGGTAATGTCACTAGGCCCGTTTTACAGATGAGAAAGCTGAGGTTCAGAGAGGTTAACTTGTCTTGGTCCTCTGGCAGGTGGGTATCAGAGGCAGGACGAAACCCTGGCCTACCTAACTCCAGCTGCATCTCTCGCCATCACTCTGAGTTGCCTTCCAGAAGAGAAAGCAGCTCTAAGCTGGTTGAGTGCTAATGGGCTGAAAGCATGGACTCTCCAGTCGGCCTGCCTGGGTTCAGATGCCAGCCCTGCGACTTACTGTGTGACCGTGGGCAAGTGACTCAACCTCTCTGAAAACCTCAGTTTTCTCCTCTGCAAAGTGGGGTAATAGTAATGATACCTACCTTATAGGCCTGTTGTAGCACTAAGTTGATCTACATAAAGCCCTTGGAACACTGCCTGACACAGAAAGAGCTCCGGGTGGATGTTGGCCATCATTATCAGTGTGACTGGGGATCAAGGTCAGACTTGCTATCTTCATCTCTCTCTGATCTTCCTGCAATTCCTATGGAATTAGCCTAAATGCTTTGAGATCCTCGGGTGATGGGGGACTCCTCCTTTCCCTCCAAACAATCCCTAGGCTGGGGATAGGGCCGGGTCTGCCTGCTCGACTCCCTGGAATGTCCCAAATGGGAAGCAGTGTCAGCGAATAACTGTCCTCACAAGAGGGGGATAGGATGGCCTGTGGGTCCCCATGCATGGAGGAAAGAGGGGGCTGGGGGGAGAAGACCTGAGTCTGTGGGATCCAAGGGGCTGGTAAATAGAAGCCTGACAAGGACCCACATCTGGAGGGGGATCCGATTTGCCCTCCCCACCAGCCACACATAGCTCCGCTGCCACGTGCCCGCCTTTTTTTCCTAACACCTGCAGCCCCGCGCTCCCCAGCTGTGGGTGCCAACGGGCCTGTGCCCTTAGGGGTAAGAACACACATCCTCCCATTTTCATCCCACCCACCTGCACCCCCTTGGAGGTCAGGCGCCTCTGTCCACCTGGGCACGGATTCAGGCTGGGCACCTGCAGAAACCCTCAGGACAGGTGCCTCAGGACCACCCCCAGCCCCTCCCAGCCCTGCTCACCTGCTTACGAGCCTTGGGGTCCCTCAGCGAACTCCTGCAGCCACGGGTGTCCTCCGCCACCAGCTGAGCTCACACCTGCTCTAACAGCGCCGAGTCCTGGCTCCCAAACCCCGGGGGCAGCTCCCAAACCCCTGACTCATGCCCCCGCCTCCTAATCTGCCCGCCCCACCGTCCCGGGGAGCCCCTTCCCACCCCCCCTGCCCTGCTCCTTCTGGGTGCCCAGTAAACAGAGTTATCTCTCACACACATCTGGACAGCTGTGCGTCTGGCCCACCCCACCCCAGCCGGCCAGCCCCCAAGGCCTCCTGCTGCCTTCCTGGCTCCCAAGGACTCTCCTGGGTCTTCCTTCATGGACTAAGGTTCAATGGCTGGGTTCTCGAGCTCTCAGCCTCCTGGCAGGTGTGCCCGCAGCTCCTGGATGCTCCCGTCCTGCCTCTGTCCTCACTCTGGCCAGGCTCCTTTGCTCTGGCCCCAAAAGACACAGGTGCCTTCTCTCTTCTCTCTTGGTGACTTCCCTGAACTCGTTCGTGCTCTACAGCCTTGCCCACAGGGACCTGCTCAGTGCACAGAGGATCCAGGCAGCCCCCTCGCCTTCTTGCCCCGGACTAGGGCTCCCTAGCCACCTTCTCCCTAAGACCCCGGAAGGCTCCAAAGAGCCGGTCCCTGGGCGCTAAGACGCTGCCAATGAACCTGAAACAACGTCAGGTCAACACAAACAACCTTCCCCACACGGAGCTCAGAGCTCACAAAGCCCCAATGTTTGGGCACACTGGCTCTTCTGTCGGCAGCCTGGCCCAGGCCCCCAGGCCAGCGCAGTCCGCATTCTCCGCCCCCGCCATGCCCCTGCCCACACCCCCCAGCAGGGCAGCCTCGGCTCCTGGGGGTGCTGGGGCCAGTCACCTGTCCCTGGGCTCTGGTTGCTAAAGGAGCAGAGACTGAAAGATGAGTTCAGATGGGCAAGAATGAAGAGAGGCTTGAAAGCAGACAGAAAGGGGGGTTTGTAGATACTGCTCTGGGCACCGAGAGGGGAAACCATCCTAGCCCAGCACCAAAACCCACTGCCTGTGGGACCCTGGGCAAGTGCCTGCCCTCTCTGGGCTTCAGTGTCCTTACTATAAAGTCAGAGGGCCTGGTTCTGTGGCTACCAGCTTGGAGAGTCCCCATTTCCAATTCAGACAGACAGGACAGAGAGATGGCATATCCAGCAATTTCCCCACACTTTCCTGGGTCTCAACCACAAGCCTGCACCGTGCCAAGCCCGTCGGAGACGGAAAGGGGCAGCCAATTCCTCCTGTGTCTGGGCACTGGCTGGGGTCTTCACCGGGAGGTCATACCTAATCCTTGCAGTCTCCTCAGTTCCCGCAGAGGGCAACTGCAGGGACAAAGTAGTCCAGCGGCTTCCAGGTGAAGAGAAGAGCCGATGGACTGATGGGGGCTCTGTGCAGGCCCAGCAC